ATCATTTCTTTTTAGGTTGGAATAATTAAATTCTAGCCTTTTACCAAGTTTGATTATTATAATGAAATAGTGTTGTCTAATTTTACTGTACTGCATTATATATCTAGGACTTACTGTTGCAAGTAAACATCTTCTGTTCTATCTCCCCAGGCACCCACCCCCTGTGACTACTATTTTACTGTTTTTATGTGTTTGGCTTTTTTAAATCCCACATATAAGTAAATTATACAGTATTAGTATTTGTTTGACTTCTTTCACTTAGTATAATGTCCTCAAGGTCCAACCATGCTGTCAGAAATAGCAGTATTTCCTTCTTTCCCATGGCTGAATAATATTCTATGGTGTGTATTTACAACATTTTTTAATCCATTCATCTGTTGATGGGCACTTAAGTTGTTTCTATATCTTGGCTACTATGAATAATGCTGCAATGAACATGGGAGTTTATATATCTCTTTGATATACTATTCAAAACAGTTTAAATATCTGACAAATTTCTCATCAATAAGAAATAGATATGCCTTAGTACAAGTTTAATAATGAGAATATAAAGTCGTGAAAAATTAACAATAACCTATGCCAAAATGGAGGATTAGTTAAAAATGTAGAGTCTGCCATAAAATGAAATACTGAACACTCACCTCCTGAGATCATCTTGACACCTAACTAAAGTCTTCCTTATCATTTTAACAAATGTCAGAATAATCTTTTCTTTAACAAAGATCAATGCTTACATATTGAACTTTTTAAAGACGCTAACACAAGGTGCTTAGTATATGCTAAGACACTGTTTGTTCTAAATGCCCACCTGTTCCTTACAGTGTCCCAGTGAGGCAGTCCTATTACTATTATCCTCAATTTACAGATTCACTGGGGTCTCTGAGAGGTTATTTGTCCAAGTACTTAGAGCTAGGAGTCTAATCCAGCATTCTGGCCCCTGCTTCCATGTTCTTAAACGCAATGCCAAATTGTCTTCAGGGGACTGAAAGATAGGCTGGGAATTCTATTCTGTCAGTGCTTGTGGAGCAAAGCTCTCAAACTCAGCTGCCCACAGGAGCCCAGATGAGTAACGTGGAGCAGTGAAACAGAGCAAGGTAGGGCATGGGCCACCGGGAGGGTCCAGGCTATCCAGGGAAACAGTCCTTATCTGCGCCATGCAGTGTCGCTTTCTGGAAATGCATATCTTCCAAGTTTTTTAAGAGAAATGAGAGAAATCTGGATTTTTATGGAAGTTCTCTTCAGTTCAAAAAGACAAAGAAAAGTAAGGAGAAGGGAGTCAAGGGAAGGGGAAAACATGCAGGACACACACACACACACACACACACACCCACCTCCAGGAAGGATTCAGTCTGTACGTGGACCAGTTTGCAATCTCTAAAAATGTAAAGGTTAAATCTTATAATGGTCTCTGGTTGATTTGTTTTTACTCTGGTTGACTTTAAAGACATATTCTCACTCTAAACCACCAAGTAATTATACTTTTAAAATATCTTATGTGTCTAACCTATTGGAGGCTAAAGGTTTCTGTTATTCAGTCAATGAGGGGAGGGGAAAAGGCTCAGGGTAGGGGCGAGGAGGTGGAAGGTTGTGGAGGGACCATTGTCTCAGGACTTAGTCTCTCCTGGGCACATGGAGAGGCTGTGACAATTACATTAGCATACATGTTATCCAGTGGTGTGGACTTCCTATCTATTCATAAATCAAGAGATTTTTAATTACAGGTGTTAGCCAAGCAATCTGGGCTTTTCATTTTGATTCTTTAATTGGTGGATAATGTAACCTCTATTAACAAGGCAAACAAAGAAAACACCACTTCAAAGTTAAACAGGTACAATTAGCTCTCTGTGCGAAATGGAAGTGAACTCAGGGACTGAGGGCCCCTGATCTTTTTCTAAGTCTTCCAACTTCCAGTTGCTGAACTTTGAACTATTCAGAACTTATAGTCCTCTTAGCAAACCAGGTTTCTTGGCTCTAGGCATATGACATAGTAGGCATTCTATATTCCTGGCTTTATGAGACCTTCCAGCCTTTGGGAGCAGGTGTCCAACATACTTATTTTTATTGTGTAAACCCAGATTACAGATACATAAAGTTTAATAATTAAGATAAAAAAATTTTTTACTTCCAAACATAGCACTCTTTTTTATTGTTTTCAATTATATTTCATGCAATAGATTTAAATCTCCTACTATTTTGATGTTTGGTAGGGCACTAATAGTGGCCATTTTTGTAGGGAAAAGGGATCAATTAATACCTTTTTAGGTGCTAGATCCTCCACTGTGTCCTGTGAACAGAAAAGAATCAATAGGCTTGTCCCCTTCCCTCCTGGGGCCCGAAGTACTTTTGGATAAATGGGGCATTTATACAAGTAACAGCAGTACAAAAAGTGCATAAAAAGCACAATACAAAGGACACAGATGACCATAGCTGTAGAATTTTTAAAAGAGACAGAGATTTTATGACTTGAAGGCTTTAGAGGCCTTCAGAAAGTAAATGGAGTTTAAGTGGGGCCATGAAGAATGAATAAGCTTTTTCAGGATGAAGAGGGCAGAGAGCGGGAGGAAAGGTATAGTAAAGACAGATACAAAGGAAGGAGAGGGAAAGGTGGGGTGGGGCACAGCAAGTGAATACAACAGAAAATTCCAGTGAGGAAGAAAAGGAATACGAACCAGGAGAAGGGGTCTGAATGAGCAGAAAGTATTCAAAACCAGAGATGGGAAAATATTCAAACAAATTGTCATTAATAATGAAGTTAGAGGGAAGAGCTGATTTAGGAAAGAAAATAAGTTGGGTTCATTTTGAAATTTCATGTGATTGTAGATCAGCCAGATAACATTGAACCAAAAAGATAAAACTATGTATTTTCAAAATCTGGCCCCAACTAAATTTCCCATTCCTTTATTTTGACCCTTTATTGCCAGTTAAGATTGTGCTATTTGATTTATTATCCATCACATGCAAATACATAAGATCCTTACATTTTGGAACAAGGAGGGTCCTTTGAAATTATATATTTCATTTTGCTATTAAGTTAATTAAGGGTCCAGAAAGATTAAGTTATTAGCATGAGGTAACAGAGTCTATGAGAAATAGAGGTAATACCAAAACACTGTCATTCATTGATTTTTTTTTCTTAAAAAAAAGGTTTATACATAAAGGCACACAAATTTTTAGATATGCTTTTTTAAAAAATATTTTCCCAATTTTGGGTACCTCCATCTCTCTTTCCCTGTCTCAAACTCATCACATTCCCTCCAATTAACACCTAACATGTCTTCTAAATATTTTAGAATTTATGTAATCATAAATAAACATGTCTGTACACACACAGATACATAAAACATATACATATGTAGTGTTTTAAGTCATTGCTTTACAAAAATAAAAACATATATACTCTTTTCTGTACCTTACTTTTCTCATTTAATCACTCCTTGGAGAAATCTCTCTCAAGTGAAAAATTACAACCTAATTAATGGTTTCTTTTAACGGTTGCATAATGCTCTACAGTAGCAATATGTCATGATTTTTTCTACCATTTCCCCATTCATGGAGATCAGTTTGTTTTCAGTTTGTGCCTCTACAAATAGTCCTTCAATAAATAAATATATATGTATATATACTTGCTAACATATATATACATATATATCTGCTGGTATTGTTTGTCTATTTGGGATCATGGGGTCAAGGATATGCATATTTTTAGTTTTAAAAACTAAACTGCTTCCCTAAGAAAGCTGCAACAACACATATTTATACCTACAATTAATAAAAATGCTTTCTTTAGCTAGGCCTCACCAGGCTATAGTGTTATGACTTTTTAAAATGTTTTCACAAGAGAAGTTGTTGTAAAGTAAAATCTAATTATTACATTTATGCATTTCTTCGACAACAGATGAATTTGAACATCTTTTATAAGCTTATATATTGTTGGATTTCCTATCTTGCAGATTGCATTTTCATATTCTTTATCCATTTATGCAATGAGCCATTTTGTCTCCTTGTACATTTTTAAGAGCTTCTGCTGTGTTATAAATATTTTTGTTTGTCATCTAAAGTTACAAACTTTTTTCCCAAACCTATTGTATTTGTATATAGCGTGTTTTGCCATGTAAAATTTTGAATTTTATTTAGACACCTGTGGTTATGTTTTTCTTGTAGTTTCTCTATGTTCTACCTTTTCCAAATGAAGCTTATTACCCTCCCTGCCCCTAGAGTATATTTATGGTTCCTAGGTTCTCTTACAGAATATTTATTTATTCATTTATTTATTTATTTATTTATTTCTCTGTCTTTTTGTTTATTTATATTTTAACCTTTAATCAGTCTAAATTCATCAAGGATTTATTTTTGGAATTAGTGTAAAATAAAGACCTAGTTTTTAGGTCTTCCAGATGAATAAACAGTTTGCCGGTCCTTATTAAGTAATCCGTCCTTCTGCCACTAAACTGAAATGCCTCTTTTATTATATATTAAGTACTCATTTACATATGGATCTATTTCTCGATATTCTATTTCACATGTCTGTTTAGGTCTGTTTTAATACTTACTGATTTGATCAAAGCAGCTTTACAGGATCTTCTGATATATGGTTAATCAAATTACGCAAATGACTTTTAAGGTAGTTACTAATGCTTAGGTAAATAATTAAAAACCTATTTCCTGTACAGCATTGAAATGCAAAAAGAAGCTGATATATCAAAATAATACCTGTATATTTAAAATATTTTTCCCAAATTTTACTTTCCAAGATCTATATATTTTTAAATGAATAAATTTGGAGGGAAAAGGTTTAATGTGTTTATGAGATCTACAAATGACAGGTATGTTTTCAATGGTTAAATGCTGTACCGTATTAATGGTGCCGTTTCCTTGATTCACAGATCCGTCCTTCAGAGGAATCATCCATCCCTGTCTGTGTCTTTGCTCTGAGCTGCGACAGCTTCCCCGTGGGAGTACTGCTCGGGGGAGAGCTCTGAGGTTCCCTGAAGAGAAATTCCATGGGGACTGTACCTGACCCTCTAAGATCAGCTAAAACTTCCCTCATCACAGCTTCTGGAAAAGAAGAGGGTATAGGAGAGATACAGGCTGCCTCGCCTCAACCTCAAGCAGCTCCCCCATGTAAGAATACCAATGGCCTTCTTAGCAAGCCTTCGGAACCAGACCTCGGTCCCAGAGCAGCTTCGGAGGCTCTGATGCAGGCCTGTGAGCATGAGACCACCCAGCCAGACATGTCTTCTCCCGGCATCTTCAATGAGGTAGAGAAAGCATCTCCCACACTCAACTCCCCTGGCAATACCCAGCTTCCAGGAAACAGTGAGCCCACAGAACTAGCTTCATGTTCTGCAGCAGCTAAGGATCTCATACATGCAGCATTTACAATGCCAGCCAGTCAGCACACCCACCAGGCCATCCCAGGTGACCAGCCCAATGCCAGCCCCTCATCAGGATCTGAAGATCCACTGGGGAAATCACAGAGAACCTCAGATGGGGAGCAATCGGAGAAGTCAAGCTGTCCTGTGGGAGGCACTTGTGACAGCAGCAAAGATCAAGTGCCCTGTGATTTTCCTTCTCAAGAACCAATCCAGGGAATGGTACAAACTGCAAATCCAGCAGCCAAGTTGTTTAGTCATGTCTCCTCTCCTGTAGGCGGGCCTAAAGGGGAAAGTCAGGGAGCCATTTACGACTCCAAGATGAGGTCCTGTGAATCTCCAGCAAGAGAAGATGGATGTTCTTCGAACAAACAGCCCTCTGCCACCACCTCAGACACCCAGGCCTTGAGTTCTGTGACACCTCAGCCATCCCACCTCACTAGCAAAGGTTCGACATTTCCTGAAGATTCAGAGAAGATGCCTCCACCAGCACAGCATCAGGTGTCAAGGTTCAAAGAAGCAAGTACGATGACCAACCAAGCTGAAGACGAGATGAAGGAAGTTCCCAACAGGGCCCAGCAAGATGCTGAGGTGCAGGCAGTGGTGAGTGTCGAGAGCAGATCTGTCTCCACCAGCCCCAGCATCCTCCCTGCATTCTTAAAGGAAACCCCGGCTCCTGAGCGTTTGGAACAAGAGCATCTGCATGTCATTTGCCACGGCAGCGGGAGCCACACACTGGAGCTGTCAGTCAACACCCTGGCCCCCCAGGGGTCGGGGCAGTGCCCTGGCATCATGCCAGAGGTGCACATCCAGGCAACCACAGCTGTTTCCACGGCTTTCCAAAAGGATAGTAAATTGGTGAGCCTACCAGGTGAGGTCCTCAATACCTCAGCAATCAATGTGGCATCCAATTATGCTCAGGATACCTGTACAGAAGATGGGAGGTCAGCGGGAATAACCCCAGTGAGAGCAGAGCCCACCTCTAAACAGCTTTCAGGTACTAATTGTAGTTCCCTGAAAACTAACCTTACTGACCAGATTTTTATCCCTGCAGGAAGTCAAGATGAAACCAGTCATGGATTTGGGAAATTTGAAACCAAGCCGCCTGAGCTTGCAGGGAAAACCACAAATGACCACAAGACAGACCCAGATTGCAAACTCTTTGACTCCTGCGGCCCTGCCATCAAAACTGAGCAGTTAGGGAGCTCGGATCCCACTAATAAAGGAGAGGCAAAAGAGAAGAAGCCTGCGTATCTTCAGATGGCAAAAGAACAAGAATCTAGTGGCGCGGATATCCTAGGTGGGAGGGCAGAAGCAGAGACCAAAACCCTACTGCTCAATCCTAAATCTCAAGAAAGTGGAGCCACAGAGTCAGCTGCACATCCCATACCCTCTCCAGTTAGAAATAACCAGGAGAGCACCCTAGAAGAGAATAGACAGACCAAGACAGTCACCAGCCTGAGCCTGCCCTCTGATTCCATGGGTGACTCTAGTCCTAGTTCGGGCAAGAGGACCCCTTCTCGCTCGGTCAAAGCCAGCCCCCGCCGGGGCAGCCGGGTCAGCGAGTTTCTCAAGGAGCAAAAGTTAAACGTTACAGCGGCTGCCGCGCAGGTGGGCCTCACTCCGGGAGAGAAGAAGAAGCAGCTTAGTGCTGAAGCCAAGCTGCAGTTGAAACAGTCCAAGCGCGTCAGGGACGTGGTATGGGACGAGCAAGGCATGACCTGGGAAGTGTACGGCGCTTCCCTGGACCCGGAGTCCCTGGGCGTCGCCATCCAGAACCATTTACAGAGACAAATCCGGGAACACGAGAAATCAGTCAAAGCGCAGAACAGCCAGACCCGGAGATCCATTTCCTCAGATACTTCTTCGAATAAAAAGCTCAAAGGCAGGCAGCACAGCGTTCTCCAGTCCATGCTGCAGAACTTCCGACGCCCCAACTGCTGCGTCCGTCCTGCCCCGTCCTCGGTGTTGGACTGAAAGGGAACGAGTGTGGGAACCCTTGAATGCATTTAGGGTCATCATGAGTGTCTGTTTATGTCAAAACTTACTTAGCTTTTTCCTGAGAGACCCGGAAGAGAAAGCGAGTATTACCTATAGGAATTACTATAAAGAATTGTTGGGCGCTTTGGGGAATCCATAAATTAAAATATTTCAATGTAACAGAAAGAACAAGAGAAAAACAAGCTTCACTAAAATTGTATGACTTAAATTAAGAGGAAATAGGTTCACTGGATTTTTTTAATATGCTGTTGCTTATAAAACCAGCATTGTCATTATACATGTGTCATTTCGCATCACTGTCTCAGTTTATTACACTATGGTATTTCTATTACAGTCCCTGCTTTGTTTTAAAAATACCAAAAACACTATTAGCAAAACCACTATCTGTACTTTCTAGTCCTATTGCAATAGGAATGCTGTTATCACACAAAATTTAAGTAGCTGATAAGAACTATGATGTAAAAAAAATTGAAACAAATTTGACTCATTCCTAGGTCAAATGACATGAAGTAAAAGCATTTAAATTCATAAAATGCCAACTATGAATTTATACTTGTAAGCATCTACAGGTAATCATTTTTATAAGTCTTGTTATCCCTCTTAATAAATTTAAGAAAGCTATAGTAGGAATTAGCTATGCTTTTGAATATTAATACTGCCCACATAAAACATAACTTTATATAGAGAGATTTTCCAGCACTGAAGGCAGGGTGCATCTCTGTGATTCCAACCAGATTCGATCCATATTTCCTTACCCTAGAAGAAGTACATGTGACCGAGTTCTTGAGAAGAGTCATCAAATTATTGAGAATACTAAATTTTATGTTGTGCAGATGTCCACCAAAAACATTCTACTGACAATATTAATTAACAGATGCTCTTCTTTCTGTGTTAAAAAAAAGGAAAGCTTCCAGAGTAACAAAAACAGCATGTTTTATTTAGACTCCTGTAAACGGATGCAGTTTGTGTTTTTCTTTTGATTTGGTTCAGTAGCTCCTAATAGAAATTGTAATCAGCAGCAACTAGAGCACAAGCTTCCTTACAGTGTTTGTAAGTTAGACTAATATCATGTAAATGCTTAGGTTTTTAACCTGTAGCAAAAAGGTAACCTCTGCAAGTTTATTGATTTTAAGAGAAACACCATCGTATCTCATCGTTCAAACCCAATAAAAGAGAGGCCTTTACAAAACACAATTTGAGCTTTGGGCCTTGAGAACACAGGCACCCATATGACCTCAGCCCTCACCTGTCTCCAGAAATGGACCCTGTCCAGGGGACCCACGAGAGTCTTACAGGGCACTGGGCTGGGATGGGCAGCAGTGGCTTGGGGACTGGGGTTGTGCGGAACAGGGGAATGAGCCAGGGCCCTGGAAAGGCCTGCCCTCCTGGACTCCCTGTAGGGGGAACACTGCTCGCCACCTTGCATTTAGGAAATCAGACTGCCTTCTCTCAACTCATTCCCCTAGATGAGTCAGATGGCCATGTAGCCTCTCTCCGGAGACTCGTAAATGCCATTTTTGCATGAACTCAAAAATCTCCGTTTTGGCATAATTTTTTTCATTTTAATTCTCTTTTGCAGATGCCGAACATATGGGGGGAAATCATACCTGAACTTTAACACCACAAGCTACACTGGGCACAACCTAAATAAATTAGTAATAGCCATTGATTTCTGTCAAAGCAGTTGAGCTGTATATGAGGTCTGCCAGTGTAGACCACAGTCACAGCATTCTCAGAGCCTGGGATGGTACTTAGCAGTGGTTGTACTTGGAACTTTTAATGAATTTGTTAATGATACATTTTTCAGTTTCTCACCAATCGGCCTCCATCAAGACTGCTATCTAAAGTAGAAATTACCATCAAATTAGAAATCGAATTACTATTGATGATTAGAGATTTAGTCTAAACCTCTCTTCTGGCCTTAAATAGCCATTTGTAGTAACGTTCATTTCACTTTGGTCGGAAATGTCTTTTCCAGGGTGTGATCTCGCTCACTGGCTGTGTTCCCTCACACCTTGGCACACATGCTGTGTGTACACAGAGAACACCCTGTGTACACAGTGGCAGCTGTCAACAATACCCACTGCGGCTGGGTGGGCCCCAGGTAATCCTCTGCTGAGAAGTGGCTAGAACAGGCTGTTCCTGCATTAAAATAAGAGAAAAGGAAGAATTTAACATCTGGTAATGATATTTATTTTCATGAGTTTGTAGTAATCTCATGATTTATAAATAGTTAAATGAGGCAAAAGCCTAAAAGAGATGTAGGCATTTGTTGCACATTAAATAAATTTAAAATTAAATTAATTAAAACTAAATTTGGTGTTGTAGTTATGCCTCTCATAGTAAAATTTAATGTTTGAGATGGTAACTTTAACTGGGGTATTTTTTGGTGCTGGAACTAATCTTTGCTTCTTAATCTTTTTTTTTTTAATTTTTCATTTTTACTTCTACCATGCTCTAGAGATTGTCACAAAATATTACAAAAGCTTTCTTCTTTTGTTTCTTATTGAGTCTTACAGAAGGAAGGCTTTGAAAAACAGTAACAGAAATAGATTGTTAAATGGAGAAATAAGGTAGAAGCCTGTTCAAGACAAGCATGCTTTTCCTTTATGATTCCCTAAGTACTGTCGTAAAAACCTTGGACTTAAAAATCTGCCTTCACTTTGGTCCAGGACACAGCAGAGACATTCAGTGTATCATTCATGACCCCTTGGGTTTGCTCAAGTCAGGCCACAAAGCAATTTCAATGACAGACTCTCTGAACTTGTTTGGCTATTCTTTACCTGCATGGCACACATTGGGTTGAAAGTTGTCTGTTTTTGTCCTTAAATTTTTGGGGGTATGTTTTAGTTCTTTTTAATGCATTTTAGTTGTTTAAATAAATGAAGGAAATGTTTTATTAATTAAATAACTATTAAATATTAAATATAAAAGAGAGATGAGTTAGAATACAGTGTGTGGAAGATAATAAAATATTCAAAATGTTAAGATGCTATCCAGCTTACCCAATGAATACTAGAATTTTTAATTTAAATATTGATTTTTCTATTTTTATGGTGACAAGAAAATGCCATCGCTTCAGCTATCATATGTTTATCTTCCCTGCTTTTCTAATTACATCTTTCTTGATTATTGGTTTTAATGCACACACCAATTACTTTACATATAGTAAGATCCTAATTAACCTCTGTGTATTTTGGACCAGTGGCATAAGTTAACATTTTGTTAGATCAAAGTTAACCAGAAACCTTTTTGTTTGCATCCAAAATGAAATAGTTATAAAATATATGAGTACGATTTCTTACCTTGACAAGTTCAGTCATATTGAATATTATTTGATTTGTTATGGTGTTTTAATCTTTAGAATTATCTGATACTCATTATTTCAGATACCAGTGTTCTCCATGCTATAGGTTAAATATCAAAATTTACATACATTGGACTGAATATGCATGTGTAACACATACCCTAGAGCTTGAATTTTTGAACCAAAACCTTAACAAGATTAAGCTTGTTGTCTTAAAATAGAAAGCCGACGAGGAGTTCCTATCATTCCAGGAATTCTTGTATATACTACGTGAAAAATATACTATGATGTGACTATAAAATGTATTTACAGAGGTTATATGTGAGTATGCTATTAATGAAGTTATTTGGCTTTTGCTATATCCAGTCTGTTACTGTTTTATTGCCTAAATGTGAGAAAGTGTCACTTCTTCCAACATATTGTGCAAGTATTAAAAGATTTGTCCACTTCTAGTACCACATAATTCACCATATCCCTTGTCTACTTTTTAAGAATCAGTGTAAAGAAAAACAATGCATTAGAATAAGGTTTGCATATATGTAAATGTGTTTTTACAGAAAATTGGGCGCTTGCAGCCTTCTGTAGGCCTCTATTCGTCTGATTTACAAATCATCTACAATGCTGCCATGGAGAAGATGCTGTTTACTCTCTCCTGCTTTGTCGTAAATGGTATTTAAGAAATGAGGCCTGTGAATTTCCCTTTGTGATAAAAATACAGTGAACTCAGCAATATATTGGATAAATGAGCTGACATCTTGTCCCCACACTTGTTTTTTCTATACAGTAAATCAGAAGTCTTATTCATGTTTACTATTTTATATTCACTTCTGAGCATTTGTGTTCTGTTAGCAATGTTCCTTGAGCGTGGCCCTCTTGGCTGAATCTCCTGTCCATCTTTCTGAAACTGGCTGAGTAATTATAAATGTCATCTGTGCAGACACATGGGCATAAGGATGTCTACAAAATTTTAGACATTTTTGCAAAAGGGGAAAAAATAGCCTTGTAAATATTGAAACAGATTTCCATGAACTTTATCCTAGTCTCGGAAAAAAAATTCTCCTTGGCTACAGAAATCAAATAAATTTGATTTGCAATGACCAAGGATGTAAATGAAATGGATGAAGGTGGAAAAATTGTCTCACAAGTAATCAGTGACATCTGCCAGAGGTCATTACAACGACTTTTAACTGTGAACATGCACCAGCTAACCTACTCACTTGCCACAACCAAATAACCTCTCTAAGTAAATCCAATACATCTGTATATGTATGTCAATAGAAATAACAAAATATCCTGAAAAATTACTGTTGGGTCTTAGGTGATCAAAGTGATGATAATGTTAAAGGACATTTCAATAACCATGGGCCTTGGTGAAATGACTGTGGAGGCCAGAATGGTGCAACAAGATGTTATTTACAAGTTTTTGTTTTTAAGTCCCAGCGATCTCAGATACTAATCACAAGAATAAAGACTGTTGAATATGAAATCAAAACCAAGCAATAATGTGCCAAAAGAGGCAGTTATACCAGCAAGTGCATCTACTATGGACACACCATTGTATAATTACGGTCTGCTCCGTGAACACTGACTGTAACCTACAGGACGAAATAAGTAAAGGCATCATTTCTCCTTTCTTGCTGGAAAAGCTCATTTATGAGCTTCACAAAGA